CTCGTGTTAGGTCTTTTAGCTTGAATATTGGATGCATAACTCCCTCGTTGGTGTTGAGGTGGTAGGCAAGCATTTTTTTTTGAAGCTCCAGAAACCTCTTCTGGAGACCGGGAATCTGCAATTGGGCACTGGAAATACGTTCCATGCCTTCTTTTGAGTCTCTCATTACCGCTGTTCCACCTCTTGTTATTTTTGTAATTCATTTGATTTTTACTTTTAGGTTCTGTAGTGGGATTAGTCTATTCAGCGTCTCTGTTATTTCAGCTCCTTTGTCATCTTTTGGGAATATTAAGATTTTTAGAGGGTTCGTGTCATTCAAACGAGATGCCTCAGGGATTCCTTTCTGTGGGAGCGGCTGTGCTGGTATGGCAGTTTTTATTCATAGCTTCCTTTGTGGCTTTGTGTTAGAGAGTTTAAAAGTAATATCGTGTCTTCTGCTTCTGGCTGTCGTACATCTTGTCGTGTTCTACAGCACTGCAAGCATGCTGACTTTTCAGCTGTAATTAGGGATGAAGTCTGGGCTTCCCGAGAAAGATGAGGCTGTCTTCTGTTCATTAGTGCAGGTTCTTTTAACTAATTGAGATATTGAAAGAGGGGGTCAAATATGTTCTTTGGGGCCACATTTCTATTTGTCTTTTTTGATTTAAGGATTTCAATGCATTTGTGGAAAATCCAAGTAGCATCTTCAGGGTCTTGATATTGAATTTCCTGTTCCTGTGAGGCAGGGGTGGCAGCTTGTTCTAGGAAAGTCACATCTTTTATTAATCGAGAGAGATTATTTTGGAATGTTCGGTGCGCAACAGGGAGTATATTGTGAACTTTTACATAGTTCACGATATACTTCAGAGAGCGAGGGAGGGTCTATGATGTAATGCTTTTTTATGAAAGCACTTATTCTAGTAAGAATTGAGTATTAATGGGAGTGGGGATATGTGGGGGAGTGTACGATATGGGATAAAAAAGTTAATTCATAAAATGCTAATGAGAAATGTTAGATACAAATAATTGAAGCAACTGAAGAGGGAAAGAAGATGGGAGATACTCTAATCAGATATACACTAGGTTAAAATGATATAACAAATACTGAAATATAATTTCAATCCTTTACAATCAACACATGTAAATTACATTTAAATCATACTATACCTAGAATTAAATTGCATTAAATAATTGACTGTACTAATATTTAATGTAATGTACCAGCCGCTGGTTTCAATTCATTAAATACGATCTGAAATATGTAAAAGGAGTTTGGTAGAAATGAAGTAGATGGTACTACAAGAGGAAAGCAAAACGAATTAGGGTTCTAAGAGCAGTAGGAAGACAGTTACGGGGGGAAAGAAAATTCTTAATATTAATATGATATCAAAAGGTGTGGGGGGTTGTACTGCCGAAACTATAATGCGAGTAGGATTCTGAAAGGGGAGAAAGTGTAGATGAAGAAAAATTAGGTTACATGACGATTTGACAATTAGGAAGGGAAGAAATCGAAAAATTAAACGAGATTAAGCTTAATTAAAGGTGAAATAACTTTGGAACTATTGGGGGTAAGAGGAAAATAGTTATATATTATTAAAATGGAAACAGAAATGATTTGTGAGCGCAAGATGTAAAGAAGGATAATTTTTTACTTTCATATTTTTTATTACCTAATAAATATTTGCTGAAAATGTAAAATGGAACCTTAAGTATAGAAAATTAATGCAATTTATAACACTTATTAGAATTTTAAACTGACATAGTTAACTAAGAAAGGTCATTAATGAAATTTTTTTACAAGTTTTACTGGCAATTTTTCATGAAAAGTATTATCTAAAAAAGAATAGAAAAAGAAAGATAAGTAAAAAATTGCTAAGTTAATTATGAGATAATTTTCTTCACTTTTGTTAATCTGATACTCTTATAATGAAAATTAGTTCTTGTTTTATTTAAATTTCTTTTTTTTTTTTTTGGTGTTTTAGAAATGTATTAATTAATAAAAAATATGAATGTGAAAATTATCCTTCTTTCCATCTTGCGCACACAAATCATTATGCGCTAATATCCATTGCACATTATTAAAGCCGGAAAAAATCATGTCTACGATGTTATCGTCATGCGATAATTTGTAGGTACTTTATTTTTTACCACGATGTTTTCGACGACGATGTTTTTAAACTGCGAAGTATTTGAACCGCTTTATTTTCGACGATGATATTTTGTACCACGATGTTTTAGAACTGCGATGTTTTCTCTTTGCTTTATTTACTCCCACGATGTTCTGTATCACGACGATTTCGCATTGCGTTGTTTTCTCCACGACGTTTTCGTCCGCGATGTTTTTGCTGCGATGCTTCCGCTATGCTTCTTGTAACCATTCCAAGGTATATTATCCAAGTAATGAATTATTTACACTTTCACAATAATTTCTGGACTTCGAAAAATTATGTAAGATCACTATGGCATTTAGAAAATTTCACACGAAACTTAGCCGTACTAGGGCGACCACGTGGTGGCAGGCAGGAGGCTTGTCGTCGATGGGTCGCCAGAGGTGGACACAAGTGACGTCCTTTTTGCAGAACTTGGTCAACACGAACTAATTTCCACAGTTTTGGAGAGAGACACCAAAATCATGTATCCTCGTGTAGTATACACCTTCACGAGCACGCACAAATAAAAATCACCGTTGACACTGCTGTATTTCTGCGAAAGTAGTCGAATTTTAACTGTGAGTGAAAAAACACGTCTTCACTACTCACTACTTAATTCTATATGATGTAGAACTTCAACTGTGTTTTAAAGTTTACTTACCTTGAAATCAATTCTCTTTCTTTGTTCTCTATATCAATTCTCTTTCTTTCACTCACGAATATACAAATACGAGAATATACAAAATAATTAAGCATACATAAATGATTGAATCTAATATATAGGCACTAACTGAAAACGTGTAAAAGGCATTAGATATTTATTGTACTTACATTAAGTCAAATTATCAGCTAAAACTCGTCACACAGTATTGACACAGAATGGTTACAACTAAGATTTAAAAATCATTGCAATTAGGGATTCGTGTTCATGTTCTTAAAATAAGACTCAGACTGAAAATAGAAAAATGCATAGAAAAATGAAACCAAATGCAACTTGGACGAATTTGTGTGAAGAATCGACTGATATAACGCGGTATGCTAACGCGAAAATGATGATTGTGGTATTTGTTTAATCACGTGAATGCTTAAATGTTTGCTTCAAACGTGTTTAAGCAACTGCACTTTTCAAAAGCAGCCTTTTGGACCCGTAGCAACACTCCAATTAACCTTATCGTCCACCGATGTGCGTAAGCACCGAAATTAGGAAAATATTATCGAAATAAAACCTGTTTTTTTCATCGCGATCTTACCTAACATTTGAATTAGTTCAGTACTGCCGTCTTACAAAACAAACTTGAAGGAAAACAAACTTGAAGTTAGCAAGACAGCTTCTGCTGCCAATTAGATTCTTGTATAGAAAATTTCTTGTACGTAATATTACAGGGTTCTTCAGCACTTGGAATGATAATAGAAACAGATATAGGCAGCAGATATAAATAACAGAAGAGATAAAAGAATATTTCATTTTATGTTGCTTCAGTTGGTTCAAAATGCAAACTTTGACTTATTTAAGAGGAGCATTTGACTTATTTAAGAGGAGCAAAAAATATTTTATTTGACTTATTTAAGAGGAGCAAAAAATATTTCCCCGATTGCAGGAATTTATTGTATTAAAACCATTATAATTAGACACGACTAATGACGTTTTGGAAATGGCAACTTGAGAATTAAAATTTTTCATAAATAGTGCTACGCTACCAAATTTCAGCGTGTGGTCCCTTTATAACTTACAGAAGGTCAAATTGGTATTCCAATTCTCGCCACTTCGACATTTGCTGTGTAACATTTGACGCAGCATGTGTTATTCTATCAGCTGTGCAGTTCACTACAAAGGTAATAATCAGTTACAATAAGCCTGCTGCTACTTAAAAGCTCAACTAATGGTACCAGAGTTTCTTTAAAACGTTTCAAGCGAATTCCTGATACTCTTAACATCTGCAGGATTGCACCCAGATGAAGTACTAAACCATAAATGATAAGCGATTTAATTTCATTGCACCACAGAATACGCTTAGTTTTTCTTTCACACACGTCATTTGATTACTCACTATTGTTTGGTGTTTTCAACTGCGCAGTAAAAAAGACTGTACAACTAGTACCTCATAATGATAAAAATTTCACATTTCTATCTTCCGACGATATTTTGCTTCGTAGGTTTCGTAATCAGATATTTTGCTCACCCTGTATTTGGGAAGGGAAAGGTTGTCAGGACTACTGTTCCTTTTAATTGCCTCTGGAAACATCTGCAGATCCTGAATGGGAGAAGGGAGCTTACTGAAACTATGCTCGTGTGTGTGTAAAAGATACGACAAGGATGAGAAGGGTTAAATGACCCTTTATTTCTCACAGTTTAAAGCCGTTCCCGCTCTTCGGGTAACAAAGACCAGCACTTATAGTCTAAAACGTAGAAAATAAGAAGTAAAACTAACTTAACTAAATAAGAACTAAACTTAGAGACTTTACAAAGAATAGTAACGCGAAGATTGGCCTTTTAACTCCACGTATGTAGCGAGAAGAAGGCAGGAACCTACAATGCGTCTTCAAGTATCAGCGAGAATTAAGTTCTGACCTTAAAGGCAGACAGGAACTGACTGAAAAGCACGTACGTGGTAAGGCAGCGAGAAGTCTCTCTCAAACTCTCTCTTTTGGCTAAAAGCCATATCTTAAATACTTAACAGTTTTGCAAGCTCATTTGCATAAACAAAACTAATCGAGCTTATTCTGGCCGGAAATGGAAAATAAGAGAGGATAGCAAAGTTTTAAAATAAAATAAACGTTAGTAAATCTTAAAATCCTTACAAGGTCCGTAAAGGAAAATAACCCATAATAAAAGCTATTTTCATCTTTATGTAAAATGTATATATTACTTACCACGTAAATCTGAATTCCTGGTGCGTCTGAGCATTCCAAAGTTTTGCAGTTTTCTTCATTTACGGCAGTATTCAGTAGCGAACAGGTCCTTGAAATGAAACCGAAACCAGCGCAAGGTTCTTCTTGCATGCAGAGCGCTGCGCATTGCATTCGACTGGTGCCGTTGACAGTCTTGAAGATTCCTGCATCATAAATTCTGCCCATTATTTGCAACTCGTATTTAGATTCCGAGAATCCTTCGCTATCGAAAATATTCAAAAGAAATGTTAAAAGTACACAAGCTGTTTGAAGAAAGGCCATGAAAAAATTACTTAATAAAAATATTTCTTCAAGAAATTTGATGTTTTGAAGAAACGTAATTTTCGTTTCAATTTTCGTATTAATGAATTGACTTCAGGTTTCAGATATCAATTACTGATATCTATATGTTTATAAGCTTGAGAAGGTGCTTCTTCAGTGTTCATCAGAAGACCCATTTGATTGTTAAACTGCTATCGTCAAAACACCCATAAGAATCTGCAAATAAAATCTTCATAGCGTGCGAACATTTTCTCTAGGGACACAGCTAATTGATTGTGTAAGCGCTCTGAAGGCTTCTTGACGAAAAGCATAAAATAAAATTTAATTTGCTAATGCTACTTAAACAAGGGAAACACTATATTATGAAAAGTAGCATAACACACGCAAAGCTGTTTCATGTTAGACATCGAGCTCCAAAAGCACTCGTTCATTTCTTTTTTATTCTTCCTTTTTAAACATTCGTGATTACTCAGAGGGGGAAAAGGGGGATTCGCTTAAGCCTAGTATGCGTAGTGCGCGATTCCTAATGCCCATTTAGAACATTAAATTAAAAGGCACTATTATGTTTTCTCATTCAATAGCCACACTTCTCACTATAAATTGTAGGCTTACTTTTTCGAAAATGTCAAAGGTAAATTCTTGAAATTTGTTCATATCTGCTGGTTTACTGATTATGATAGCAGAAGCTTCAAAATTAAATTAAAACACTCGGGAAACTGAATGGGCTTAATGTATTAATTATTTTCTTATATTATATAAAAGTTAGAATTAATTGAAATGATTGAAAACACTGATAGAGCAAAATACATCTTAATATAATAGCGGTACAAGTTATTTCTTCCGCCTTCGTAGCCTGCTTTCGTTGCGTAGTGGTTCTGCATGCTGGACCAGAGGTCAGTGGTTCGATTCCCGGCGAAGGCGTTTGATCATTTTTCATATTGCCTGCTTCCAAAAAATACCTAATGTCTCTACAACGGTACCGGATAAAATTCTTATAAACTGTATAAACACAGCTGTATACTCAAGGCTGTATTACTCTGAAAGAAGAAATTTAAATAATTTATTCATTTGCTTCAATACAAATATATAGAATAATCTGTCGCTTACGAATTTTTAAAAATTCATTTTCACAAAAAGGCGAAATAAAAGTATAAAATTTGTAAAAAACGTTTCTAAAATTTTGTTTTTTATTTTCAAATAGTTTCTGTTTTGTATTCAATTTTCTTCCGTGTATCCTATGAGTACAAAAATGCGGAACTCCTATTGTTAGAGTAAAGTTCAAGAAAATTTTCCACCGACAAATCTAAGAAACTTTTCAATCTCACGGACCCTATGCTTTTCAGGAATTTACATTTCCTGATTTATTACGCGGAAATGTCTAGGGTCAAATATACTCATCGCAGTGAAAAACATTGTAAAACTGCAGCAAGCGAGGAATGGAACTAAGATGAGTTATTATCTGGTGTGAAGTAGACGAATGTAAATTAAAATAAAATTGTTTTAAAAATCACTGATATTGAAGTAAAGTATAATTTACCAAAAGATATGAGTAGTAAATAAAAGTCATAACGAAAAGAAATATGAAAGAAAGAAAAAAGAAAATAAATTCCACAAAGATAACATCAATGTTGAGCAACAAAAGGAGATACATTTTCTGCCGTCTCTCCTCCAATTTGTAAATGCCTTTATCAAATACTTATTACGTCTAGGCCCACAAAGCCTTGGATCCTTGAGCCTCAGGCTCTAGATGCCTCCAAATTCTCCTATAGTTCACCATAATCCGAATTTTCCATCACGAAGACAAGGAAAGTTGAGATCAGCGCCCTCCAAAGAATGATGTCCTTTAAACCACATATTGTTACAATCGAACCCTGACTGATCTGCAGAACATTATCGCGGATTAGGCTCATCTATATAGAAACAGAGGGATTATGAGATTGCTTCGCTTCATTAAATAGAAATTATAGAAAAAAAATGCATGAGTAAATGAGTTGTACTACTAGACTCAAACTAAGCAAGTAGGAGAATTTAAAATTTACCGTGCACGGTTTATATTTATTTTAACTAACATTTATTTTAAGTTTAAACTACCTTTCCTGTCAAGCCTTACTTTCCCCTGGAACTGCCAATGCCAGAGTATGTAAATTTTAGTAGAACGCGCAAGGATTCAAATTTTCAGTGGAAGTATTCTGAGTTAAATAGAAAGGAAACGAGTTCGAGGTGTGCTGTTCTTACTTCACGAGCGCGGAGGTAGTTAGCCAGAAATTGAAGAACCCCGCGTTTCGGCCTGTGTGCTTGCCTGGAAGAATTGTTAATCGTTCAAGTGATCTTCAAGTTTTCTGAATTAGCAGCGGTATTGTAAAACGCGGTGAGGTTAGTTACTTTTAGAGAGCCTCGTATTTAGAGTCTTGTCATTAGTTTCTTTTCAGGTTATTATTTTTATTTTACCGCCGAGTTGGCGTAATTTGTGAGCGTCAAGAGCACGCACTTGTAATTTATTACGTTGAATAAAAAGGGACTTAAACCCTTAACAAGACTCTGTCATTTATCCAGTTTCAACAGTCACCTCTTGGTTGCGTGCAAGTTGGAGGCGCGCAACGCTACATTGGCGCCCGAACACTTATCGAACTGAAATGGCCGAAAATTGGATGGAAGCCGCTGGACAACACCAAGAAATGACAAGCCAATTGGAAGGATTTGGATACCTGGTCCAGACTTTGAGAGCGTCAATCAAGCCAAACGTCAATTTCGATGGAAAAATTCGGTGGCGATATTTCTAGAAGGCCTAGAAAATCACTTTCAGCTCTACCCTGTGCCTGAAAGACAAAAAGTTGCCATCGCCACATCCGCACTAAGAGGACAGGCCGCGCTATGGTGGAAAAATATAGGCAAATTTTTATTAGGGGAATTTGGAAGCCAGACATATACATTTGAAAATTTCAAAAAATCGTTAGTAAAGGCCTTCCCCACAGTGAAAGATCGAGCAAGGCTGGAAGCCGAACTATATAGTTTCTATCAACGGGATATAGAAGAATTGACGGACTTTATTCTACGAAAAATTAAGCTGACGGATATGCTGTATGGGAAGAAACCCGATGCGGAGATTATTGAAATAATCTTACCAAGATTGTTACCCGCTGTTCAAGACTACTTTCGAAATTAGAAACCCAAGCACATTGCAGGAGCTCTTCGAATTGGCGGTGAAGTTTCAAAATCGCAGAATAGCGGAAAAAGCTAGAGGGGCAACGTATTCTCAAAGTACCCGAAGGAAATCTTCAAATGAGGAAACCCGAAATGGAAATCGCTCTTATGGGGGAAAGAGCTATCAAGCTAACTCATCGAACCTCGAAGGTCAAGGCCCAAAAAGAAAATTCGAAAATAAACATCCGCGTACCCAGAAGGCACAAATTGAAAGGAAAGCTTTAAACGAGTAGCGGGGCCTGTGAAAGGGAGGTTCCAGACACCGAAAGTTTTAAAAAAACCCTCAAGAAGACATTTAAATACGGTCATCGTAAAAAACTCACATCTACCAATTATACAAGTCCTGGTGGCGATGTACCAGTAGAAGCCCTCATCGATACAGGAGCAGAAGGAAATTTTATGAGCGAAAATTTCTTCAAAAAGAATTTTTATAGGGTACGATTATTTAAAACCAAAAATACGGAAATTATAGCGGCGCAAGGAAAAACATGTCATTGCATCGGGAAATTATCATTAAACGTACAGGTAAAAGAGGAAAGCCTCAAAGTATTCATTTTTGTAGTGAAGAATCTGCAAAATCCTCTTATTTTAGGTATTGTGTTTTTAAGGGCCGCGAGGGCCAAATTGAATTTTTAAGACAGTTCCGTGGTGCTGGAGATGGACCAGAGGGTGGTGGAACCTGTGGAGAAACCGCAAGTGGACCTTAGCCATCTGAATGACCATGAAAGGCAAGCCATCCAGCAAGTGGTGAGTAATTTTTCTAACTTGTTTTCAGAAAAGCCGGGAAATTGTCAAATAGTTACGCATAAGATACAATTAACTGCCAAAAAACCTTGTAGGACTAAACCTTATCGGTACGACAAACAAAAAGACGTAATCATCGAAGAACATATTCAGGAGATGTTAAAGAATAAAATAATAACTCCCATAAATAGTGAGTACGCGAGTCCAGTCGTACTATGTAGGAAAAAGAACGAGTTTCCTCCTTCGGATAAAAGGGCTTGGAGGTTTGCTATTGATTACAGAAAACTAAATAGTATTACTAAATTCCCAGTTTACCCTTTGCCGGTTATAGAGGAAATTATTAGACATATCAAATCGACAAGATACATGTCTACTTTGGACTTAACGTCTGGCTACTATCAAATAGCTATGACACCCGAAGACATACATAAAACCGCGTTTATAACAAAATCGGGCACTTATGCATTTTTACGCATGCCCTTTGGGTTGTGTGGGGCCCCATCAACATTCCAGAGAGCTATGGACATTGTTCTAAAGCCTGTCCTAGGAAAATCAACTTTAATTTATCTAGATGATATAATTATAACGAGTAGTACGTTGGAACAACACATTAATGATCTAGAACAGTTTTTAAATTATTAAAAGAGGCCGATCTCACAATTAACGTCTCAAAATGCAAGTTCGCAACTAAAGAACTTAAATATCTCGGTTATAAAATTTCGCAAAAGGGTATAGAAACGCAAGATTCAAAAATAAAAGCCATCAAGAATTTCCCCACCGCCCAACACCGCCAAGAAACTTTCTTCTTTCCTTGGGTTATGTTCTTACTATCGGTCTTTCATAAAAGATTTCGCTAATATTGTTGAACCACTCTTAGTAATCAAAAGAAAGAGAGGTAAATTTACGTGGACAGCGGAAGCAAATACAGCTTTTGAAAGATTAAAAGAAGCGCTCATCAATGCCCCTGTTTTAAAATTCCCGGAGGGGGACGAAAACCTGTAAATTGCAGCAGATGCGTCAGACTATGTGGTGGGTGCGGTTCTTATGCAAAATAGCCATCCTCTGGCATTTTTTAATAAAACGTTGAATCAGACACAAAGGAATTATACAGCTACAGAAAGAGATATATTAGACGTATTAATGGCTGTACACGAATTTCGAGTTCATTTCGGCAAAGCGCCAGTAAC